TTAATTTAAAATTTAAAAATTTATTTTATTAAATATTAATATTTAAATTTAAAAATTAATTGAATTTTAAATTTTGAATTAGAATTTCAATTCTAAATATAGATTGAAACTTTAATTTTTTTGAGAGTTGAAACTGATTGATATGCATTAATTTCAAATTTTAATATATTATATACATAATAATTAAATTTTTTATTAAATAAAAATATTAAACAAGAATTTCATATATTTTTTTAATTATTATTTATATAAATTATTAAATTTATAAAATTTATGTTAAAAAGTTAAAAATAAATAAAAAATAATTTTATTTTAAAAAATTTTAAAATTAAATAAATTTTAAATAAAGTTAACAAAATAAAAATTATCAGTAACCATAACACAAGCATGGGCAATTCTATCTAGCTCGCGGAGTTCGAGAGTGATAAATAAGGAAATGGAATCTTCCTGCGTCCTTTGCCGCGTTCGTTGTATCATTATCTTATCCTTACAGTAATGTAATAATCACATCAAATCTCTCAAGATATCTTTTTTCCCTTTGGAAATGGCTCCCCCATGATCCCTATCCCATTCATTATCTGAATCTGAAGGGTTAAATTGCTAATTTTTTGTCCATAAACATTGCATATCAAATGTTTTTGGTTTCTAAATTATTTTTATTATTTCTTTTGGTCCCATTAATTTATAAATTATATATATTTTGATAATAGTATATATTCGTCTTACTTCTTAAATATTAGAAGGAATATTATTTTAAAATTATATCATTTTAATAAATATTTATTGAAAAAGATTAAAATATCATATTTTTATAAAACATGTTTTTTTTTTTTGTCTTTTTTTCTCTTAATTTTTTGAAAGTAAGACATACAAGCATTGACCCCATATATTTTTATACTTTCATTAGTTAAGTGATGATGTTGTGATCGTTTACTCATTTAAAAATTTATTTTCTTTTAATTTGTTAGTGATGTATTCATTATAAATGAGTTTCTTAACTTAGTTTATCAAAATATGTGGTGTTTATATTGATAATTTATATTAAATAAATAAAATAATAAATTTAAAAACTAAAAACTATGTTTTAATCAAATTTCTTTTAGAAATTAAAATATTTAAACTTACAAGATAACAAAAATATTTATAAAAGCTTATTCTTCCTCCTCATAATTATTCTTCACTAAAAATGTTTTTAGGCATCATAAGTCTATGCAAGCTAATTTAATGACATGTTATTACCACATCATTAAAAATGTGTCATTTTGGATTTAATTAATGGCTAGTTGGCCACATCATCATTTAATTGATGGAAATCATGGAATAGCAAAAAAATGCAACTTGTAGAATTAGGGGGTTAAAGAAGTGCTAAAAAATAGTTTAAGAACTAAAATTGTTCACAATACAAAGTTTAAGATTTAAATTGATATTTAACCAATTTAAAGCTTCCAACTTCGAAGGCAACAAATCTCTCTCTTCCAACTAAATAAGAATACCATATATGTAGGATTTAGTTGTATTATTTTTTATTTTAATAATATATTAAATATTAATATTTTATTTTATTTTTATCGCAAAAAATAAATATGTATTATAATTTTTCACTTAATTATAACTATAATTAAGAGTAAAAATGAAAAAAAAAAGTTTTAATTATTGCAATAAATAAAATTTTAAATAATTATAAATAGATAAAATAAAACAACTAAATTTGACTAAAAAAATAATTATAATGTTATACAATATAATAATATTACAAATTTATAATTTTAAAATATCATTATATAATTAATCTTTTTATATTTAAAAATTTA